GTTATCTAATATATAAATTAATGGAAACATTCTATAAAAATATTTTTTTTTATTGATTTCTGTTTACGTATTAAATTTATATTATATTAAATTTTCAAGTTAAAGGTTAAAGTTAAAAACATTAATTAGAAGGAAATGAGAGAATATAATAATTAGAAAGGAAAATACTAAAATTAATATAAATATTCATTAAAATTATTATGCATTTTTAAAGTATTATTATTAATTTTTTAATTACTACTTTTTATTTCGGGTGGGGGGTTCTGTATATATGAATGTTTGTGTGTGTGCCACTATTTTGTTCACCCAATTTGAAGCTTAATAAATCCTGTGCTTTTTGTCGAAATTTTCTGAAATTTTGCAGGAAGGTTTGTATATAAAGGGCATTGATGTTATTAAATTTTGGTAGTTAAAGGTCCACGGAGTGGGGAGATAAAGAGGGTTCGTGTGTAACTCGAGTAGGGTCGGATTTGATGCCGATTTTACTCGTTATTAGCATTTACAATTTTTTTTTTTATAAAACTCATCACTATCTTGAAAATTAAGCTTTTTACCATTTGATAATAATTAAAAATATATAAGGTTTTAATAATAAAATAGCATAACAGATGGCGCCACACACGCAGTTGTAAATGTTGCCGGGAAAGTTAAGCAACTCGTTGTTGGATTATTTCATTTATGGAAACTTTCCTTTCGTTTGAAATAAATTCTGTATATTCATGGGATTTTTTTCGCAAAGAATCAGATTTTTTACTTACTTTTTTTTTTTAGCAATCACTAAATGTATAATTACTTACATATCATGCCATCTTTTAACGAAATATTAAACAGATTGTATGCCTATCCTGACTGTTCTAACATAATGCAAGAAAATATTGTAATCGTGTCAAATTTGACCCACCAGGTTTTCTCAAATCTCAATGTTTTGAGACTCCCTCAACTCAAAAAGTTCAAAAACCTGGGAAAAAAATTCCCTAGATGTGTGTGTTGGCGTCTATTTCGTTTAATATCTCAGAATGAAGTACAAAATAAGAAACGAAACTTGGCATGGTAACTTGTATATAAGGGGCATTGATACTATTATATTTTGGTGTACCGAACTGAAAGAGGTGGGGAGATAGAGGGGATCGTGTGTCATATCTCGAGAGGGGTCGGACTTCAATGATAATTTTACTCGTTATTGGCACTTACAATATTTTTAAAACGTATCTATCTTAAAAAATAAACCTTTTTTTATTTCCATCGAATTATTCTTTTGTTTTTGAAATTATTGGAGAAAATGTATTGCCTTGTGAATGTTAAAATATTTTAAATCATTCGTACAAGTCCTTGTGAGGGGTAGAAAACAAAATTTATTAAATGAATAAAGTTCTATGGACAACAAATAATAATTGTTGATACGCATCAACAATATCTTTGTTTTTCGATTATCATATCGAAGTGATTTCGTTTTGTTGTTGAGTTTTCTTGCAATTTTCCAGAAGAATTAGTGAAAAGAAAAGTTTTTGGAGATGGATTGGAAGGATCTTGAGATGAAAACCTCCAAGTAAAGAGAAGGGTGATGAGAGAGAGTAACAGGCGAATAACCTTCTTCAGAATGTAGAATTTAGTCGACTTTCGCCAGAGTTATTGAAACATCAGAAGGATCCAGTGGGCCTCCTTCAGAGTCCTCAAACCATCTTCCCGAACGTACAGAGCGAGAGAATTCAAAGATTCATTGGGACAAAGCCAAGATAACAAGATTGAGAAAGGCTTTTGAGGAGTAAAGGAGTTGGAGATGAAAGCCAATTTCCAGCCCTCAAAGTTCGGAGCGCCGCCTCAAAATAAGAAGTTTTAAGTTAATCTGGATCTTCTCTTTCTGTTGTTTTGGCAGAGGCGAGAAATCCAACCCTGATGTTTATCCAATTTTCAACAATATTGCAATCAGGGATACAACAGCCAGGGTAAGTGTATATTTTGACAGATTGCGGTTTCTCTTAATTCAATTTTTCTTTGACAAAATATTTAATCTTGAATTCAAATATAATACAGCAATCACTTCGAGTGTTTGTTGTTTAAAGATGAATGATGGAACTGATTTTGATAAATAGAATATAGATTCAAATATATTATAAAATAATANTAATGTATCATTTAATTAACTTCGATAGCAAATTTAAAAATACATAATTAAACTTTGTCTATACTTTATTAATATGTAAACTAAATTAAACGTTAATATACTTATAAAAGATTAAACGAAGAATTAATTCAGAAGTTATTAATCAATTTTTAATTACTAATCGAAAAGAAATAATGTTACAAAAATTTAATGTACCAAGTAACATCCAACGTAAGTAACGACTTAAATTAAGTTATTGTGTTAAAATAAAATAAGTCGTTTTCGCTTTAAGACGAAGCAAATATATATATATAAGTGACATATTGTATAGTTATATCATCTATTTAATATATATGTTATAATAATATTACTATATTTTATCATTTTCTTGCATAAGTTTCGACACTGGACTAATAAAACTTTATTATATGAAATCATATCTACAGGTATTTTAGAATGTATCGATATAGTCTTTTCTGACTTGAACGCACTTGGCCTAGCCAGATTTTCACTGACCAGTGCAAACTTTGACCAACAACTTTCTGGGAATAAAGTACCAAAAAATAGAACCCTTTGAAGTTCTTCATTTTGGGGAACAACTAGAAGTAGGCCGGAGCTATGTTTGACAAATATGGGGGATGCTGTATAGAGATAGCATAGAGCAGGATCAAATACTTCTTTCAATTCGGTTCGGACTCTTTTTCCGAATTGCATCGAAGAAAGGTTTCAGACCTTTCAGATAGAATACCTGGTTCACTGTGTGGCCTGCAGGCACGAACTCCGAGTGAACGATTCCGAGAACGTCAAAAAAAAAAAAAAAAAAAACAAATTAACGTATTTTCACTTTCGATTTAGAGAGCCACGGCTTCTTCTTCCAGAAAGGTGGCTGCCATGTAATACTCTCTCTGAATTTCTTTTCGTCACCGGAGCGCCACATCTTTTATCATCATTCTAATCCTCCCTCCTATCGGAGATTTTCTTCTGTCATAGAAACACATTGGCTCACGAAAGAGTTCCATCTCCATACACAATCTTCAGCATCTTATCAACGAAACGAAATTTTATGTTATTCATCCGTTTGGACAGGACCCCATCCAGATTTTCAAACATACGTGTAAATTAGCATCTTAATACATTGTAATTCAAGTTTAGGTTGCCTTGAACTGGCTTGAACTTAGAACATCTAATTTTTCACAAGAAATGTAGGAATGCTTATTTAATTAATTTAAAATATAAATATGCTTCGTAAATATGCCTATATGATTGTTTTCGACTAGATTCATTACTCTATGTATTCGAATTAAAAGATATTTATTGTTAAAATTTGATATTAAGGAGCTGTTATGTCCCTAAATTATGTACCGTAGGTATAGTTGGGTTGGTATGCAGATAATCAATGAGATGCGTTACAAGGGGTGGAATATTTACGTAAACATTTCGTAATGGATTGCAATCTTTAATAGCAGAATAATTGATTTTTGTTTCTGAAGTGTTGCGTAGAGAACTATATTATTCGTGTCATAGTTTTGTACATTATGCGTATAATTAATAAAATAATGTAATGTTTGGTATCCCGTTCTGTGATTATACCTTAGTGTAATTAGGGGATTGATCGAGGATATGCGTTTCGTACTTTATGTGTTTGTATGTGCGACAGCGTTCGGAACATTGCTGGGGATGGGATGGTAATTGAAAAATACAGAAGTAGCGTTACGTAGTTTATGGACAATTTATACGAGAACCTTCTTTATTCGCGAATAAAAGAATGCTAAATGGTTGGATTTATGAATCCATCCGTGTAATTTACTCAATGTACTGTACCTTATAAATATTTTAACATAGTTGATGTTTTAAGTTTGTTATTAATATAGATTTTTTAAAACACATTCGATTTAACAGACACTCATTCGGCAATAGTGGACATTTTCCCCAATTATTCCGTTAATTAAATCGAGAATCTACTTTATTTTAAAACACTTTAGATACATAAATTAAATAATTAAGTTTTTATGACAAAATAAACTTTTAAAATTTTAATTCTTATAAACTTTTAAACAAATAAATAAAAATTAGATAATGACATTAAAATTTAATAAATATGTTTGTTTATGAATTAATTTTAAAATTGTCATTTTTATTTATTAATTAATTTTTAAATAAGTATACAATAATTAAAATAAATTTTTCTTTAAATTATTTAGTTTATTTACATTGTAGTTATATTTTTTGCTTTGACAAGTTCTATTTAAATTAAAATTTATATGACTCAATCTAAACTCCGTATTATCAAGTTAATACAACGAGACGAATTCATCACTAACGTTCCATTAAATATTAACAAAATAAGAAGAAAATAGTTAACGAAGAAAAAAACAAATCTTTATTTCAGAATAAACATTTGATCATTTTCATCTGATGCTAAAGCACCAAAGTCTCCATTATTCTTGAGAGTCGCTGTTTAAATCTTATATTATTTACTTCACCTGACAACAGAGGAATTAACAATGACTATTCAGGGAAATTTTTACAGATATTTAAGCTTATTCGTAAGATTCCAAGCGATGGTATATCGGATTTTTCAGTATTCGTCCCTCGTCTTGTTTGAAATCAATGTAATAAACTAGAAAAAATATTAATTCTTTTGAAAGAAGAGTATAATATATCTTAAACATAACCAAAAAATTATAATAAGTTTTTACACAAGATAAAATATTTGAACGTCCTTTGTTAAAAAGAAAGACTAATATTTAAATCACATTCTTACTATATTTCGTTATAAATTTATAAATATATCAGAAGAAAAGCTCTTTTAATTTGAATGTAGATATAATAAAATTTACATTAGTGAAATGATTTATCTAAATTTATATATAAGATAGCAAATATTCGAATTTTGAAGAAATCTGAATATCTCAGTAGCTTAGAAGCCAATGGATTAGTGGAGTGATGTGAAAGGCAATGCAACACATCCTTTCTTGATCCTTGGAAAATGTCTCCTGAAATGACTTTCTATGAGAAACTGGACACTATTTAGGTGTTAGAAACGTCAAGAAAAGATAAAAAGCTCCATACCACAATCCTTTTTAAACTTTTGGTATTATTAAATTATTATTATTATTTAATATAATTTTACGCTTTGAAAGCATTTTATTTTTTTACTGCTCGCTCAGTTCGAATTTTGAAGCGAATTTTTGTTAAATTTATTGTTCGAACTTTGAAGCGAGATACCAATGTATAGTAAAATGTAAACTGAGGGAAATAAAGTAAGATAATGTAATGATGGGATAATTAAAACAATTATTCTATCCCATTTGTCATTATTTTATTAGTAAAAATATTTTTTTATTTTAATTTAATGTTACTTTATTTTTTAACTGTTAGAAATTTTATAAAGAACGAAATGAAAATCATAATTTTTGATTAGAGATGCCAACAATGATCAATTGCTGAGTACCTAATGTAATACTACGTTAATTAATAACAAGTCGAGAAATTCTTTTTGTCAAAGAAACTGATTATTATTATTGCATTATTCTTTTATTCACAGAATACACTAGTAGACTATAATAGAATAATACAACAATGTAACAGTATAGTACTGTATATTATTCTCAGATCAATAATTTTCTCAATCTGTAGCCNAAACTTCAAATAATAACTTAATTAAAATAAATTATTTTCATGCAATTTTATTAATATTAAAATATCATACATTAGTATTTAATTCTTCGTTTAATATAATCTATGAGAAGGTTTTGCATCAAATTACGCAATGGAATACGGCCACGTAAGCCAATTAGCTAAAGTTCCACAGTTAACTTTAATCGTTTATAAACAAATTTTGGACAATTAAAGATAATATGTTTCACTGTTTCTTGTTATAGAGTTACAGGAGCAGAAGTATCTGTCAGGACTTATATAGCAACGAGTTCTTTTAATTAACAGAGTGTTCTTCATTTTGTTTTCCTGTTCTGTATTTATTTTTTCTTATGTTTATTAATTTTGTTTAGCTAGTTTCCTTAATAAATAAATTTATTGAGAAAATTCGATTGTTCTATTCGTGACAATTTATATGAAGATATTCATGCATCTTCACTCAAAAAATAATTAATGTAATAAAATTATGTTTAATAAAATAATAATTCTCAACACATACTTAAGGACGGACGACATTTGTACGTGAATAGAGAGAACAGTAAATGAATGCAGACAAATGTGGCAAGAACTTATAGGATTTTACAAATCAAGGCAATACAAGTAAGTCATTGGTGTAAAAGATACATGCAGCAGTTGGATTTAGGTGGAGAATGGATGGAAATTGCTTTCCAATACCTAGGTAGAGAGACTTGTCAGTATAGAATATGTCCATCTCGAATTGCGATGCAGCATTCACAACGTCGTGACAAGCTCGTTAACAAGACTTCTCACTATTACCGTTAGCAATTATGTTTGTTCTTACGTTTTGGATACGTGTGTATAATATTTATCATTTATTAAATTTCATCAGTTATAAAATAAACGAACTTGAAAATAATGCTAAACAATTAAAATGGCTGACGTGAAATGTTAATTAAATAGGAAATATTAGGTCATCTGTTTTGATAAATATCTTACTTAATTAGAATAAATTATATGAAGATAAAATAGTTACATAATTACAGAACAGGAGAAATGATGGGAAAAGCGAGAGAAAAATATCTAAGAATATATGCCTAGATTCTATTCATAATAGAGATTCTAAAAATATGACAAGATGAATAAATAAATAAGCTTGGAATAACGAATTCAATTCAATAGTCAAAGGTCATTAAATCATTGTTGCCAATTTATTTATTAATAACAATGAATATATGCTAACGTTACCTAATTATGAGATATTTATAAGTGTATTCAGGACATTAGGAAAAATATGTAATGCAGTAATAAGCTAACTGTAACAGTATTTTAAATATTATTCACAATAAAAAGGTATAGTATAGTTTTTTTCAAGTTTTAATTTAAATCAATAAACTTTTTTTTATTATCATTAAGAAATACCTTACCGCTCGTCCATTTAACAAGTTATCTAATTATTTGTCTAGAATTAAAATCGGATTGAAGCTGTACTTTCGCATAGAGGATCTCTTTATACCAGAAGAAAATTCTTTACCGAGTGGATATTTGCCAAACGAAGAGCGATATAATTTTATATTGATCTTTGTAAATGCCCACTCAGTAAAAAGTTTCCGTTTCGTATAGAGATTTAGCTTCAAATCGATTTCAATTCTAGTTTAGGATTACCGGAGTCGGAATATATATCCTTATTTCTGACCTACTCTAACTGTTATCATTTGAAATAAATTAATCTATAATGAATAATTCGAGACTTGTACGTAGTAGACGTCGTTTCTCAGGGCTAGATCGCTATCCTGTTTTATTGATAATGAGAAACTCCTCATATTTATCCTCATATCTATATCTCTTTAATATCATAGTATATCAAGCTATGAAATAACTAATAAATTTTAATTAAAAAATTTAACTGAATCAACATAATGGCGTGACGGTAAACAGTATTTGTGTAAACTTTCTGCTTAGTTTTTTCATAGTCTAGTACTAGTTCCTCATAGAAATTCCTTCTATTGGTAGATTGCCCAAGTTATCTTATTTCATCAAACCAATACAATCCAGCATTCTTCGTCAACAATTAATAAAAAAATTAGTTTATTAAATCAATATTATTATGATGAATCTTTAATTGATGAGTCAATTATTTAGTATATTTGACGTTTTCGCGCTGTTTGAACTAGAAAGCAGTCAATCTTTATATTGAAAAATTGCCAATACACGTAACTTTTTTACTAATTTTCTTGTGAAATTTTACGGATAACACTTTATCCTACGTTATCCGTGCTTACTCTTAACGCCGACGTCAACTTAAATATTGTTTTAGATTAGCTAATAGTTGCCAGGGGTTGAAAGGTAATTTTTTTCTGAATATATGTTTAAAATTTTCCTAATTACGAATTTTGTCATAAAGCTTTCCTTCAATAATGAAAACTTAGTAGAAAAGTTTTATTAATTCCAGTGCTTGCAAGAAATTAAATACGTGATTCTTTTTAAAAATTTCTCTTAATTGTTTTTATAATTTAAAAGCAATACATTATTTTACAATTTAAAACGTTTAGAATTAATTCAGACAATCGTCACTACCGATATACGATATATCATAAATATAAAACACTGCTATATGATATATCGAATCCTATTGTCGTCATTTAATCTATAGATCTATAGGATTAATTAATAAACCGAAAGGATGATTGAAAAAGACAGATGATAAATTGAAATCTTATGATACGTAACGTGCCAGATGATTTCTCCTTACGTGCCGCTTTAAACACGCATGGCATAGATTCGCCACCCCTGGTCTATAACTAAGAACTTTGGCTCATCTAGACCCATATTCCCGTAATAATTATCAATTTCTTATTATAGACGTGGCACAATACATATTACTTACATACATACATGTGGGGCTTTTATAAGTTTATTGATTATTTGCGCTTTCAAAAAATTTACTTCAATTTTTTTACTTCAAAATTTACCTAAAGGCGCGAACCTGCTAGAAACTAGTGCACAGAGGTTTTACGCACTTGGCCACTGTTGAGCGAAGGAAAAAAATGAACAATTACGTGTAAAAAATGGTGTACAGTGTTTTTATGAAAAAAAGCAAAAACCTTAAACTAAAGCTATAATTGTATCTATCATACGACTGGGTCTATAATAGGGGTGGTTCCTTGGAGCGGGATTGGATCCCTGGACATTCAGGAAGTTCGTTACTCGCATTTGAAGCCCATGCAAACTTTGTTACGACTCGATCTCGGATTCCTAGAGCAGTGAGTCAATGCTTTTATCGCCTAGGAATTCGTAAGGACAAATTGCTGTTCACTTATTGTGGATATTAACTTATAATTACGTATCTGATAATTAAGAAAAATATTTTTTTTGCCGTAAGTGTAATAATAAGAGTAAAAAATTAATGGTTTGAAAACAAAATGACTTTTCTGTCTTTTATTCAACTAGCGAATTAATTCATTATTTTAAAATGTATATAATATATCTAAATTTATTAAAATTTAATTGACTTCTAATTATTTCACAAAGTTTTAATATCAGAGATTTGATTTAGATCTATCTCCTGGTGAGAGATTAGATTCATAAGACTGACTTAAATTTTTATGTACTGTACATTGATAAGTTTTTGATTGTTTTCGAGTTTCAGAAATTCATATAGACGAATTTTAATCTACGCTATGAATACGGATTTACAGACAAAAACTCTACCGCTTAGACAATACTGTATGTCTAAATGGAATTTAAGACTATTATTGTTATTATATTATTATTATGTATATATATAGGTGATAGGTCAATATATAGGCTATATATATATACATATATATATTGATACATAAACAAAATCTCTTCCTTGATTTTAAGATACCTTTACTTTTAACACTAATAAACCATGCTTATTGTATAAAAATTAGTGTTGTAACGAATAGTATATTCGGCGTCAGGCCGAATACCGAATATTCGGCCAAGAGCGTGGCCAAATAGCCGAATATTCGGCCAAACTATTCTGCTCGATTAACGCACGTACGAAAATTGGCACGCAAGCCGCATTATGGCAAGGATCCTGCTCTCTATTGGCCCGCTGTCACTACGCTTCGCCAATCGCGTTAATTCTTGGCAATTGAAGCGGACAGACGACAGTATCATGGAAGTACTGTATGCGATAAATGATAATATTAAATGTGGATAACAATGAAATGACCTACACATGTAANTGAAGGAAAAAAACAATTATTTTATAAAGACAGAAAAGATACGATTTAGGACTATTACCTTTTAATTGTACCATTCTTATCGTAAATCGTACTTTGATATCTAATTTTCTTTACGAAATCTAAGATGATATATAAATTTATAGTACAATTTTCATCCAGCTAACTGCTTTTCTTTATTGAAACGGCTTGAAAAGCCATATCTTTCTGCTATCCGAAACACAAAATGCCATAAAGTTTTGATTATCAAGCCAAAAAAAGCAAGACTAATTCGAGAACATATCAAACTAAATCCATTTTCATTTCTGAACTTAACTTTTCGGTTTTCCGATTCTTTAGTGCTTATTTAAATTCTTTAGATGCCTTCTAAAAGCATCTAAAGAATCATTTAAACAAAGCTTTGGCTTGTTCTTCTGAGGATGAGCTATCACGCAATAACCTCCATATTAATCCCGATACGAAATAGATAGATAGAGCAGTGGTACGATTTAAGCGCAGGTACGAATTAAGTAAGTTTACCTTACAGATATTAAATAAATTATTTATTTTACTATTAACGTAAAATACAATAATGTATTTGTATTTTACATTAGAATAAAACAATTAAAAGATTTATATTTCTTTATGGCAGTGTTTTTCAATCTGTGAGTCGCGACCCCCAGAGGAGTCGCAAAGCCCTATACGGGGGTCGCGGGTGAAAGAAAAAGACAAGTGTTTGTAGGTCCTACACTATAATAAAAAACTACAATTTCAGTGAGAAGGTTGTGCCTGTTTATTTTACAGTATAATTCGGTTTTCGATCGATATTTAGGTCTCAACAGAAAGAAAATTAAATACGTAGTTTTTAAAATCACTGATATAGTTTTAATATGGCCCTGGGTGGTCGCCAGAATTTTTTAACTTGTAAAGGGGTCGCGTATTGAAGAAGGTTGAAAAACACTGCTTTATGGCAACTAATATTAATTTATAAATAAATATCTTGTTTTTGTGCTTCTCATTCTTTACTGGTAATATCTTAGAAGTGATTAACATGAAAATGAAACAAAAGCTTTTCAATATAATTTCAAAATATTTGAATATTTAAAGCAATTTAAATATACGCACTTAAAGTCATCTATAGTCATCCATATATGGCTCATGTCTATAACTAAATAATTATATAAATGAGCAGCAAATTATAAATTGCTAATTATGTAAATTAACTAAAAATTTTGTAAAATAATGTTACATTTCTGAAATCAAAATCAAATTAAAAAAATCTGAAATCAAAATCGATTATTACGTATGTAACTTTAGGAAATATTTTTATTTTATTTTAGTTATTCACTTACTTTAATGTTAGGCATATAACAAATATTTAAAAGTTTTTCTTATTATGAAAGTGGTATCATAATTAAAACAATTTTATTTTTAGAACTGAATACGTGGCATGGATATTTTAGACTCTATACTAAATACATTTTTAGTTTCTCATTTCTTATTTCGAAAATTTTTCTGTTTAATAATTGACTAAATTTTATGCTTCTAAAGTTGGTAAAAATTGAGCCATACGTCTCGCTTGTTACTTTTGTATTTGTGTTGGCTTAATATGGTGGCTTGTTGGATAAAAATGCTGTAAAGTTGTCAAGTATTTTTGTTTTTGCAAATGCTAGAATAGATATTCTGTAAATAACAAACACCTGAAGCAAATATACAAAGAAATATTGTTACGGAAATAGTGAAAATGTTAGTCTTCACCATTGAAAAATCGTCAAGATGTTGAACTGTTGATAGCTATTTCGGTAACGTCAGACTGTTTGAAGTATCGTTCACAATAATTACAACAGTATAAATAATAAGGGAAATAAAAAAGATCTAGCAAAACTTGCAAGCAGACACAAAGCTATATCTTTATTTTTCTGGATTTTATGATAATAAGACAAAAAAAAGAATAAATTGTTATTGATGATATTGAGCATTCTATGCTGTGAAAGCGAGATACGTCATACGAAGAATAAGAATCCGAATAGTAACAAGAATAAATGTGAAGTATCTATTATCGACCGAAAAATAACAAACTATTCGTGCGAAAGACAAAGAGATGATCTATCATTATTTGAAACAATGTAATCGACGTGACAACTTTAAATGCATTTAGTT